ATTTTTTTAATTTTTGATTTCAAAATTCTAATCAACTTGCTAATGTATTATTCTTAATATTACGAGGTTGAATAAACGGACTCTTCAAAATTTCGCAACGTTAAAAAATAAGTGATAATAAATGAAATAAAATACAAATGTATGTATGTATGTATAACAAAGTATAAAGATAGAAATTGTGCTTTTTCATGAATCATTCTTATTGCCGTACGTATTTCTTGACAAATTCCTATAAATGGAAACAGGGAGAATTTTCCAACAAACAAACCTGACTATTGAATAGATAGACGATAACGATAATCAAACACACGACGAAGCTAAGCTGTGCTTTCTTATCAGACGTAAGTTTCACGGTCGAGGAAACACATCTTTCGTTAACAAAATCTGATAGAAAAAACCGAAATCGAGGAGAAAGGAAATTTGTAATTGAACGAGGACAGACCTTTGCTACTGCATTTATGAAAAACATTGAAAAAATTTCGAGAGTTGATTATTTATAGAGAATTATTTGAGATTGCATTTCTATGCGATCGTTGAATATAATAGGGTTTCATTTATCGTCGATTTATGCCAATGCCAATTCGACAGTAAATGCAAAAATCAATATATCTTGAACATCGTTTCATTATTTGTTAACAATTTTAATTGTATAAATTTACAAAAATTTTACTTCTTTTAATTTTATTAGAGAAATTTTCGAATTCAATTATTTATTACGTATATTAGATGTTGTATCGATTTGTTTCCCATCATTATATCAATTTAATATCTAAAGATTTTTAATTAAAAGGGCAAGATTAAAACAGTTACAAAAATTTTCTTTTGTAAAAAATTTTTAAATTGATTTATCATATCTGAAATTTAATATTTAAATTTCTTTAACTTTTTCAAAATCGAATAATTCATTCATTTCTAATTTTTCAAACAAAATGCACTGTTAAATGTTTTTTTTTTTTCATTTTATATTTGTAATTATTAAAATTTTTTATATTCTTTATTTTCTTCCCTATAAAATTTAAGATTTAAATCTAAAATTTTTATTGTTCCAAGACTTTTTTTCAAAAACAAAATCTGCTGTTTTTTTTTTAATCTATTTGAATCTCTGAAAATCTGTAATTCAACAGCTATTTAACATGTTAAGTAATAAATAATAATAATAATAATAATAATAAAGCGAGATCAGAATTGTTTTATTAATTATTAATAATTAAATCATTAAAATAATTACCAATGGAGAAAACAAATTTGATATATGATACATGATCAATTCTATATATGTAGTATTTTTATTTGAGCAAAATTTTTAATATTTTTATTTTATTATTTTTAAAAAATAAAAATTTGGTTTCATCAAAAATTTGTTATGACTTCTTATATTGTTTCTATTTTTTGAAATAGAAAGAAATAATTTCAAGACATGATCTTTTTTATATTATATTGATATACAATTAAAAGAATTATTTTTATAAATCTTTACACACATTTTTTATCCATAATTCACAAATATTAATACTTTTTAAAAAAATATTTTATTATTCTTCATTGAAAACTTTTCAAAATTTAAATCTATTATTTTTTAATTCCAGTTTTCATTAAGATTCATCAACGATAGCTTTTCTAAAACGAATTTTTAACCAACTATTTTCCGCTTCTCCATGGGAAAATATATTTTTATATCTTCACTTTTTCTCGTTTCGTTAAAAAAACCAGGTGTAACAGCAATCTCGTTGACGAGGTGAAAAGCAAAAGTGCAAAATAGTCCCGCGTGAATCTTCAAAACGAACGTTATGCAGGCGCGTTCTCATGTATGTTAATAACATTCACATTCGATATAACACAACAGCGCCATCACACGACCGCTATAATGGCCAAGGTAAACTTTTGAAATCGTATTGCGCCTTTCTCTCGTCGTTTTCTCCCCTTAATTTCGTTTCTTTTTCGTTTACACATTAGAATGCATTTTCAAGAAAAAAAAATATTTGGAATACGAAACTTCGAAAAAATGAATTATTTTTAACGACTTTTTAACGAATTCTCAGCTATTAACGTATTTAAAATTTGTGTATTTTTATATAAAAAATTATAACTTGAATTATAATTATTAAATAATATATAATATAATTATATTTTGTATTTGAAAAAAAGAGAAATATTTAATTAAACTTGTTTTAACGAGATGAAGTGATTTTAATGAGTTTTTTTTTTTTTTCTTTTTTTTATTTTATTTGAATATGTGGTGGAAGATATGGAATTTCAAAGAGTTTCATAATATGCACATAAAGAGAATGAAACAGACATATAAAAGACATTTTGCTTAAAATTTTTGACATTTTCACAAATGTAATAACAAATGAAATACGTCAGAAATGTTACATTTATTCTAATTATCCTCTTTTTTTCATAATCATAATAATCGAACGAAATTTTTGTAACTGACCCACTTTATATTTTTCACTTATACAGGAATATTTCTGCAATAACAATCTTATCAGCTGTACAAAATTATTTAGATATATCTACTTGAAAATATTCTGTTCAATTTTTCTTCCTCCAACTTTCAATTCTCAAATATTGTGATTACAAAAAGTATTTGCGCGTCAATTTTATTTGTATTTATTATGCAACTATTATTTGAATTGATATTATTTAATTAGCTGTAAATATTTTACACATATCGTATTTCAATATATGATTATAAAAATTGGATACTGAGAATTTTAAAATATGATTTAAAAAACCGTCCCATTGCAAATAATAAGAATATTTTCAAATACTTTTTATAATTCTGTAACTATCTTTATTAAAAATTAAAAAGTTAAAAAAATCAGAATCAAAACTTTACCGGACTTATTTCGAACAAATTATAGTCTATCTCAAATTACAATCAATTATCTCCATCTTATACACATTTATCTTCTAAAAATTTCAATTTATTACAATTCTCTATTTCATTTGAATTTGCCCACCTTATTTCAATTTGGCTTTCCACGCCACGAGAAATGTGTTCAAACAAAAAACGAATAAAAATTAATAGGCAATTCAATCATTTCAAAAGAATGCAATATTGTTATATTGCGAAGGAACAAAATCTCTTTATGCAATAAAATTACGATTTATCGCTATATTTCGACTTTTAGTTCCAAACCTATACCTTTACATTAATATGAAACATCTGTACCGTGGAAGTCCAGAAATTGATCAATCATAATCTTCTGTCTAAATGAACCGTACACAGGTATAGGCCTCGATTTACGATTTTTCTTATTAATTTTGTGAGCAATCCTATTCTTATTGCGCGAAATATATCTCTTCTTCGAACTCAAATGTGTTTAAATTTTTATAAGAAAAAAATTTCCTCTTATTCAATGATTTACATTATGATAGATATATTAATATTTATTACGTAAACATTTTTTTCATAAAAAAAGATAACAAGTTTATTGCATGAAAAATCGCTATGTTACAATATTACAATATTAAGAGAAGGTAGAGTTGAAGTTAAAAAATTCATTCGTAAAAACAATAATAGAAAATTCGTCCTCTCACTACGATTATGCTCATGAGCGAAGCCCCGTCGACAAGAGTAAATCTAGAGCGGATCAATGGTCGACTCGTAATGTTCCATGATTTATGCGCTCAACCTGCTTCCAGAATTTTTAGATACTATTATTACTATCTCCTAATTCCTTCTAAACTTCTAAATTTAGATTTAATCCCCCGCCCAAAAAAATTACGTTTAATTTTAACCTCTTGTTGAGACGAATTTAAATTAAATAAAGATTTATTTTCTATATTCGTTTAAAGCGATTAAATTTGTATATATATATTAAATATATTTGTCTGGAAAAGTATGAAGGGAACAGAAAATTCGACATTAACTAAAAAAGGCATGATTTCACGTGATATGCCTCTGATAATAAATTTAAATAAAAATTAAATTTGTAATATCTGTTTGTAATATATGCTTTATATAAAAATACAAAAATAATTCTTCACTCGTTTCGCAATGTGAAATAAACTTTTATTAATTAATAAGACTTGTTTATTTATTAACTGTGAGAGTGGAGTTTAAAGGAATAATAAATTTTGAAAGACTCTATGTTAGAAATAGAATCTATTTTGTAATGCATTTATGGAAAAAAAAAAAAAAAACTAATTTCGAACAAGAGGAATTGTTGAATTGTTTGATCGATCGTACGGTGAACAGTAAATGGAAAAAAGACACGCTGAAAATAGTAGAATCCAGAGTGATGTTCCAGTTTATTGCGACACTTTGATTGTCGAACAAGCTTCTTTACGATGGAATCGTAAATCGTAATTCTCCGTTGTTGATACGTGAAAATTCACTCTTAATCGAAATTCAATTATTATGCCACGAAACAACGAGTTTCTGAAGATAAACAATTGACAAAGCATACAAATGTATTTTGAACGTACAAATTTTGTTAAACATTATTTGATCATCAGAGAAAAAGAATTTTTCATTGATGTATAAGTAATTCGTTAATTGTAGATATCAAAACAAGAGTCAAATATTCCTAACTTTTGAATATTATTTAAATTAATGATAAAATTAATATTGTTTAAATCGAAATATTAAAATACATTAAATTTATTTATTTGAATACGAATTTTCGATTTTGGTAAATATTAGTAACAAACAGGACTATTTAGATTAAATTTCTGAAATATTATGAATATTTCATTCATATCAATCACGTATCCGAATCAAAAATCAATTATTTTATCCCTATAAAAAATTAATTTGTTATTTATATATTTGCGTGTAAACTTTAACAACCAATAAGATTACTTTTTGTATATATAATTAACCAATCAAAAGCCAAATAGTCGAATTAATTTCTTAAATTTCTTCTCTCTAAAATAATATTTTCATCAATATTATGTAAGATAACTGAATTATTTCTTATATATTTCGATATAAAATTATCAGAGATTGATGTAATTTTTTTAACAATAAATTTTTCTTCTAATTTCAGGTAAAGCTGTACCATTTGTTGAATTAACCGTAGCACACGCTTCAGTTTTGACGATTCTAGCTATCAGTTTCGAACGGTATTATGCAATTTGTGAGCCCTTACGAGTTGGGTAAGTAAGAAAAGAGGATAACAAAATATTTTTCGAGTAAACGCGTAACATCTTTCCAAATGTGTTTTCAATGCATATACGATACAGTTACGAAATCAACGAGTACAAATAAAAGCTTGCGCGAGAAATAGTGGTTTGAGTGGTTTGAGAAATTTTGTCTTCGTTTGATGAAATGAAAAATAAACGAGAAGACATATTTTTGTAAAACAAACAATAGAAAAAAAAATATAAATTTATATAATAATTTATTCCTTAATTTTAATTTTAACACATAATCATCGTTTCTTGCAAATATATTATATTATCGTCAACGTTGCAATAACGTTTTCTAAAAGTGTCTTGAAAGTGTCATTTCTCCATGGCAGACTTCACTCTTTCATTATAAGTTAAAAAAAGTTTGTTTTTCAAGGGTTCTTTTCTCTTTCGTCGAAAGCGGGTGAAAAACACTAGATGCCCAAACTGTACGATAAGGTTTCGAGAAAAAGACAACAGAAAAACTAACACAGCATTGGTTAAAAATTATGTTACATACGATAAGTGATGATTATCTGAAAAAATAAGTATATATAATTTTACAAATAAAGATATATCTTTTCACTTATTTTTTTATTTAAGTAAAATCTAATAACTTTTTATCTCGTATTTGTAATACACAATAATCCGAATTCGAATTAAAGAGAATCGATTTAAAAAAATATGATTAAAGAAAAATTTGCAATTCTAATATTGAATATGATCTAACAAATAGAATAGAGAGGCTCACGATGAAATTTAGGTTAGGATATATACGGGTCAATGCGTGTGTTGACCCGTATATATATATATATATTCCGAATGCAAAGTTATACCTGATAAAGAATGCTGTGAAAATTAAACGGACAGAAATGTGGAATAAAAGTGACCAACTTCATCATTTTCGTTTACAACGATTTACATCGATATAAATACGATATAAAAAATATATCGAATATACAGAATCTTTTTACACATCTTTACATATTTCTTTTTTTAATATATACAATGATATTCACCTTTTACACTACTAAATTGTCACGTAAATGTTCAATCAACAGAAACGAAATACGTTGCTCATCATTTTTTCATGAAACGTGTGTCGACTTGGTTTCTTTTTTTTTTTTTTTTTTTCCCTAGTAATTTTCTTGTGCGATTTCAATCAGTCTAATGGCGAATAATCTTATCAGCTATAGCACACAATTGATATTAAATTCTTGTTTCACGATAAAGATCACGATTTTGGTTTGTATTTTCATACTACAGATATATGTGCACAAAGGCTAGAGCGACATTTCTTTGTTTCGTGGCGTGGATCGTGGCGGCGCTTTGCACCAGGTAAGAGAATGAAACGAATGATCAGCATTTCTCACAGCTGACGCATTATTGTGCTTTCGTTTGCTTCTCGATTTTTTTTTTCTTCTTATCTTCTCGTTCTTCCCTATTTTTTTAATCTTCTCTTGATCTAACATTTTTGCAACAAAAATATTTAACATTGTGATATATAAAATCTATTTTATATATAAAAATAACTGTGATTAAAATAATGTGATGAAAATAAGTAAATATATATAATTATATTTCTATCTGATTAAATGATAATACTAATTAAAATGAAAAACATTTTCATTTTTTCAATAATTATTAAAACGAAGAATATATAATTGAACAGTTTAATAGTTCTAATATTATCATCTTAGATATATGATTATTTTAAACATAACCTAACTTTTCTGCTATTTATTAGTGTTTTAAAAAAAATTATAATAATTTATTTTGTTTTGGATTGTCATTCTCTCGTCCAAATTAAAAATGAATTCTTGAAGAAAATATCTAATTTTCTGTTCCATTTATATCGAAAGAGCCATTTATTACTTCGACTCGCAAAATGATTTTCAACTTAATCGCTAAAGGGCGTATCAAAGTGGCGCAACACCGTGGCATAATTGCAAATTGTAGCGAATCACGTGACGTTTACGTGTCATGCCAATGGACTAGTTGCTCAAGCAATAATATTCATCCCGTTAAACATCGAGTTGCATGCTTCTTGTCTAAATATTTTTCTTTACTCGTTTTAATTTCTATCTATGCGTAAATAATAAAAATGCGTGTCTCGACGATTAAAACGTTTAATCGAATATTACGTGTGACGAATTTTTATCGTCGACTCAAATGATCGTTGAAATTCTAATGACGCGTGAAAAACATCGAAACATCAAAATTAAATAATAAATAGATATTTTAAGCTTTTCATCAGTTCTAGAATTGCTATATATTTATCATACGTATTTATAAACCGGTAATTAAATTATTTAAAATAACAGATTAAGAGATAGAAATTGTTTCAATTTATATATTTTTAAGAGGTGTAAACATTCTTTTGCGAGTAATGTGCGATGTTATGGAAGGGAGAATCATATTGAAAGAAAAATTTAATATATACACAAGAAGATTACAATCTTCAATCATGTGTTATTATGTTTTACACGAGGAACGACTTCTCTCTATCATATCTTCCGTGGAAATCCGCCCGTAAAAATCGATACGGAGTGGCAATGATAAGAAAATCACATTGGCGGCGTGTAAAACCTTAATGACCCGTGAAACACGTTTCTGAAAATTTCTGACTTCGTCTTCGTCGAGAAGTGGGTGAGGATTATAAATGGGAGCGTATAACCAGGACACGGTATAATGACCCAGCCATGTTGAAAATTAAAAGGAAATTTGTAAAAATCGCTGCGTTTCGAGTTCTATTTTACGATTATTATTATATATACGCGTAATTGGGGCGAAACATTTATCATGGAATGATATTTAATTAAGACTTCTACAATTTTTTTTTTTAAATTTATTTCTTCAAAAATTGTGGATTTTGGGAAAAAATTATTTGTGTATATTCGCGTTAAAATCTTCTAAAAAGAAACACTTATTGAAGGGTAATCAAAAATAATCAAATCAAATATATTGATATCGGTGATAATTTAAAAATTTTTCTTACTTAATTAGCACTATCATTATAATTGATTTAAGTAGTCTAATTCGAATGACTCAACTATCACTGCGAAAATTAAAATTAGTTAAATTATATTCATTTATTAATTATCTTTTGTGATAATAATATCTTAATTAAAATCCGGTTTAAACATGAAATTTCGAATATGAATATTCAGATCTTGAGGTTATGGTTTAATGATCGATGAAACGTTTTAAGCCAGATTACGTCCTCATTCTTAAGCGTCGAGAAGCGTTAATCATTATTAAAGGCTGATTTCGAAGCACGCGAAGAAAGGAAGAAAAATGGTGCTAATAAAAGTGCTAATACTCTTCTAGAATTACATTACTATTCTCATGAATAAGGTTCTCTTTCTGATGCAGTTAAGCACTTTTGGAACATCAAGTGGAAATCACTTTATGTAATTAAATGCATCGATAAGAGACAAAAACTTTATCAAATAAACTTACTAAGGTTAAGATTAAATTTTTCATTTTATCAATTTCAATCATATCAGTGAAGAACGGTGATTAATAATTCCTTAATTCATATCATCTTTCAAATTGAATATTTATTAAAATTAAGGAAAATAAAAAATCTAGTAAATATTAATTATTACAATAAAAAATTTATATGAATATTAAATAGATTCAATATTTTTTTTTTTTTTGCAAATACACACATACGCATTAAATTTACTCAAAATTTTCAAAAGAAAAAATTTCATTCAGATGTAGAAAACGATTTAAATTAAACATTGAGTGAAAAGAAAATGCGATAAACAAAAACGACCACCAGATTGATGTGAAAAATTCGACAAACGAGCCATAAAGTACACGTGGCATGTTCTATTTACGTTCGAGTTGATCCGAATGAAGAAAGGTAGCATGAATCGCGAGTCGTAAAAAGAATATCATCCGTGAACCACTTCGAGAGTTTTACACGTCACAAACATTTCTTTTTTTTCTTGTATGGATCACAAGGACGGAATTATCCTGACGAGATAACCTCTTCTTCCTAAATTTATGATTCTCTCGAGGATTCAATTTGTGAAAAAGATGGAGAAGGATCATCTTTTGAGAGGAATACGTCTCAAAATGAAAATTAAAATAATCTTCTAGAATGAAATAATTTTGTTGCAATAATCTGTAAAATATTATTACATTTGAAAATCAGTCCAATGGAGAAATGATTGAAGAATATTTTTTAATGGTTAAAGTATTTAAAAAAATAACATTAAGTTCAATCTTCAATTAAATGAATAGATAGAATCTGTTCACAAAATGGAGGGAATAAAAATTGATTTTATACGAAAAGATAGAAATCTAATGCTTATTTTTATATTTAAAAATCACTGAAAATTATGTATTCTAATGTATAACGCAATAATAATTGAAGATTTTACTTCAAATCTATTTTTATGGTACAAAAATTGAACATCAGTTTTTGGAATCAGTTTAAAAATCTAGACTTGTCTGATTTTTCATCAAAATTTTCAATTCTACAGATACAACACTGTATTGTATAATATGAAAAAATGAAAAAGACTGAAACTATAAAACTGCTTAAAAGAAGAAAGTTTAAATAATAAAGTTATAACGATTCTTAATTAAAACATAAACGAGTCGATAATCTTTAAATCCATCGCAATTTTCAGACTCCTCTTTCTATAAATTGCATTTTCTAAACTCGCTTCTAAGAGTATATCAACTAGAACTATATTCTTAGATCGGTTGACGCAAAAGCGATCAAGAGCTCGAATGAAAGTTTGAGAGAATCTGGTGTTACGAGAGGTTCAAAAACTATTTCACCAGAATCGAATCTCTTGAGTGAGGAAGCTTGTATTAATGGGACAGAAAATTTAACGTTACGCCTTCACGATATATGTGATTCTACCACTCGTTTTCTGTACAGGGGTGTCCTCTGAAATCGTGATCTCGGACGGTGTTATTGATGGGGACAAAATACACGTCCATAGATTGAGAGATTAGAAAGATCTCCTGGGTCGTAAGGATAATTTTTATATCTTTCTCCTTAAACTTGGAGAAAATTAGACGAGAAAAGAAATCAAATTTGCAATGAAATTTTGCATAACTTAAGGAGGAATCAAGATGTTACTCGTAATTATAATGATGAAAAACAATATTGTATAGTTATTCAAGATTTGATTTATTTAATGAAATTGAAAAGATATTCTACTCATGGAATTATTACAAGATGAATCATTATATATTATAATTATGATAAATGAAAGCTGAAATAATTTCGAAATTACGTTTCTTTTCAAATAAAAGTTTCGAGAGAGGTATAATTTAATATTATTTGTTTTTCTACAAATAATGCATGAAAAGCATATAAAAATCATGTTTTCTAAGCGAATTAAACGAAATTTTTAATTAATTAAAATATAAATTATTAGTCAAATAATAATTAGTGTGAAATATTTTAATTTCAAACTTGATGAATAAATTTTACAAAATTCAAGTTAAAATATTCTAAATTCTGAAGTAATAATTTCATGGTATAAATAATTTAATATTTTTTTTTTTATATAGAAAATAACAAGTTGAATTGATTTATTAAAAAACGTATAATTCCATTTAAACGAATAAGCTTGATTTTTTATTCTCATTAAATAAAATCATATCTAATAAAATCGTATATCCATTACTATTTACACCAAAAATACTGAATTATATAATTATATAATATATTAAATTATGTGTCATTCGAAACTATTCTACTTTTGTTTCTATCCTATATACAATTTTTTAAATACTTCATGTAATATTTCTTATGATTAAATAGAGATTAAACTCAAAAGAGAAACAAACCTATTTTATTTGCATATTCATTGAGTTGGTTCAAAGAACAGTTTCATAAAAATTTCATTAGTTTTGTTCTTTTGTAGTAATGAACACATCTTTCACATTTTCATAAGATATACATGTTTGATTTCACACAAATTTTCTTGTAAATCCTTGAACTTTTCCTTTAAAACATTATCAATTTCTAGGATAAGGAATGAACCAATTTTAAAATTCATTCTGATGATAACAAATCTGATTCACGATCCTCGAACTTTTTATGGAATTTTCTAATATGTGTTAAACTAAATTGATCTTCAAAGTGGAAGAATAATAATTGCTTGAAATATGGAAAGTACAAAAATATTGTTGGAAGAAACGTAGTGTAAAAATTGTAAGATGGCCATTTTAACTTGAGTATATAACATTGCTGAGATAATAAGGTAAATGGAGCTGAAAGGTAGAAAGATGCAATAAACGATTTAAAAAAAGAAGCTATTATTGAATTTATTGAAAGAAGAAAACGTGTATCATATGGA